AGATAGATAATATAAACAGATTGATATTAATAGATAGATAGATACGAAGAAACTGAGCTAGATAGATAGATAGATAGATAGATAGATAGATAGATAGATAGATAGATAGATAGAAAGAAAGATAGATATGAATAGAGTGAGATTATGTAGATAGAGAGATAAATAGATGAAGAGATTGATATGTACATAGATATGTAGTGACTGAGATGGATAGTTAGATACATTGATAGCTTTAAATAAATACATATATATATATATATATATATATATATATAGAAAAGAAAAGTGAAAGAGCGGGAAAGATCGATGAACATACAGACAGACAGACAGACAGACAGATAGATATGAATAGACTGAGATTATGTACATAGATAGAGATATAGATAGATATGAACAGAGATTGTGTAGATAGAAAGATAAATAGATATGAATATCGAATCTTATCAAAATATAAATCAGCGTCCCGGACTTTTTAAATACAAAAATATGCATGTTTTGTTGTAAAAAGATTTATGAAATGCATTAGTCATACATAGAAATAAATTCAACCACAATTTTGATCTAAAGAATGCTACACTTATCAAAAGAGAAAGTAACTTACTTAGAAGGAAAATTCTTAAGAGTGCCGCTATTGAATCTTACCTAAATATAAATCTTCGCTCTAGATTCTTTCAAAAACCCCCCTTCCGGAAATAAATACCACTTTCGCAAACCAACATACATGACTAAATGTTAAAATATTGAAAGAAAACGGTTAAATTCAAAAGCTTTTATTATTTAAAAATATAAAACATAAATGAATCCAAGTAATCACAAATTAATCCTAAAATAATATAAATGTCACTTAGAATATTAAAACAAATTCAATAAGAAAACCCACTCTTATATTATTATTATTTATTAGACATTAAATTTCATCCCTTAGCATCCAGCCTTTTTACTCATACTAATTCAATTAGCCTGATGTATAGTTGTGAGCGTTGTTAAGTTTAAAAGTTTGAAAAACTAACTGCATTTTTACTTTTGTTTATGAATATTGTTGCAAAATATAATCCTCAAATTTGCCTTGATAAAGTTTATCAGAGGTCGAAATAGATCAGCTAAGCTTTCCTTTGTCTTATTCACATTGTCTTTTTATAGATATATTCACGTTATATTTGAAACACCTCTCTCACGTCCCAAACGTCTTATGAATTGAGTTGGATCTTTTCTAATTAATCTCTCTACCTATAAGTTGAAATCATGATCCCTCTTCATGTGGTGACCTCCTGATGCAGCTTTCCTCTTTATTGTCCCCTCTTTTTTTAAAAAGAATTATTCGCCGTTCTCTTGATGGTTCTTGAATGGACTTTGAAGATGGAAGCCAGAGTTTGAATGCTGGTACCATTACATATTACCACATCAGCGTATGAATATTGGTATAATTACTGAAGGCCTGAATGATTTTTTTTTCTCTCAGCATTACTTAGTTGGGCAGAGAGTGGTGCTGACACAGAGCGATTTTGACCTCTTCTCTTTCTAGTTGAATATCTCAAAGAGTTTTTCAGTGATTCTTACGGCAAGTGGTATCAAGATGGCTAAACGTCTTATTAGAAAACCTGGGAAAAAGATAACATTTTGTGGGATGCCCAATTATGCTGTTACTCCCGCTATATATATATATATATATATAATAGCATATAATATAATATATAATATTGCTGATTGATTCTATGCGTGATTATTTCTTTGTATATAAATTATATGCTGCCTAATGTTTTTATATATATATATATATATATATATATATATATATATATATATATATATATAAGTGAACATTGACGTCAACATTCAGAGGCGACAGACTTTTTCATGCCGGATGCAGTTCCATAATAATAACAAAACTAGAATTTAGAGAACATTATTTTCATACTGTTAAATGAAAAGTATGTCAAGTACTGTCACGTGTGGAGATATTGTTTTTATTGCTGTGTTGACGGATTCAACCATTTTTTTATTTCTCGATACTATTGTGTACGTTTTCTTGGAAGAGTAGTAATTCTGGTAAGAAAGGTGAAATACGGAAAATTATTATTAAAATATTATTAGTTACTTTGTTTAATAAATTTATTTCGCTTTTGCCATGAAAAAGTCCACATTGGACGAAACGGGTCGGCTACTATTACGGTTTTCCTATTGTCTTTTACATTTATAAATAAATTTAATCTTTAATACTTCAAGATATTTCTACATTCCTTAGTTCGACTAATTTGAACATTCACACCTAAGACCCACTATACCACATACATTGTTGTTAACTACCCTCATTCTCTTCATATTCCGTTGGTGAGATGAACGCCTCTTGCCACGAATCGCTACTTCATGGAAGATTTCATGACTCCTGAGAAGATACATTCTTGATGACAGCAATATTAACCTGTTCAAGCCTAAACGTTATCTTCTGCATATATCGTCATAAAAATGTGCCTCTTACCTTTTAATATGTATATGTGAAGAAATATAGTTTTCACGTGTGTTATATTTATGGGATAAAGTGCTCAATATCAGATATAGTGCGTATGTAAATATAGATATAAAAGTGAACATTGAAGTCAACCCTTTATAAAAATAGTCGAGAAAAATCCAACACTCGTGGCCTGACTATTGCGTCTAGCATGAAACACCATGTGGCCAATGAGTGTTGACTTCAATGTTCACTTCATATATATATATATATATATATATATATGTATCAGAATGTTCGATATGCGTGTCAAATTCTCTAAGCCCACCGTAGGCCGATCCCATCGTGCATAAAAACCATGTCACGTGTTGAATCAAGCCCTGTAAGTGAAATATATATATATATATATATATATATATATATATATATATATATAGAGAGAGAGAGAGATAGAGAGAGAGAGCCACGTAGTGCGTATATATTTGCATGCGAACTTATGGAATATAAGTGCTTGGATTTCTTCTGTCACGCATGCATGAAAGAATATTTATATTACTTTCGAAGAAGCTGCACTATTCATAGAATAAAAGCAAAATGAAAATCTGATGGAAAACCTTACGACAAGAAAAGTGAAGATATTATCCAAGTATCGATCGCTGATTCTGAAAATCCAATCATGTATCAAACTAATATAGAGAAGAGGTCGAATAGCTTTCTTGTCGATAGCTTGATCTTTTTGCAAAGCCGCAAATTTTGTGCGAGAGACAAAAACGTAACTAAAAGAAGAAAAGAACCAAGACAAAATTCATTCAATCAGACTCAAAAGCGAAATTGTAAGTCGGAAGAACCAAATGAAACAAGTTGTAAATATGAAAAAAAAAAAAGACACCTTTCCACTTTGAAAGCAAAGTTGCCCAGCTGAATATAGAGTTGTTTTTCCCGTCTATAGTGTAATAAAATCCTCAGCTTCTGCCGTGCCAATCTGATTGTAGGTTTAAAGCCCGTGTTGTTGTTCGGCGTATTCTTCTTTTATGTGCTATGTCGTTACAAGACGTAGGTGACTATGGCTCTCCATAAGCTCCTATCCCTTGCAGCTCTTAGTAACGTTTGCTCCTTTGCCAAGGCTCCTACCCTTTGTTCTGCCATCCATTCACACACGCTTTTGAAGGAGGGAGTCCACTGCTTTTCCCCGTGCATTTTACTTTCCATATGAGTGTCAAATTCTCCGAGCACGCTTTCCTCTTTATGTGTTCAAGAAATTTCTGTCGTGTCTTACTAATTCTGAATATCTGTCCTTTTTTTTCATTTTCATTAAAACTTCTTAAAACTTGCATGCCGTCCATGGAATTCTCAGCATCCTTCTGTAGAATCAGATTTCTGCTGCTTCCAATTTTCTCTTAATCTTTGACGAGAATATCCAGGATTGATATTAAATAAATCTCTTTCCTTTATTTCTAACGAAATTTGCCCGTTTCCTAAGACTTTGCTTAGCTTTTGGAAGGCATCTTTTATTATTCCAGTTGGCATTTGGATTTCGGTGCTGTATTTTCCATCTTCTGTCCAAACATATAACTCAGTTGAGGCCTTTATGACTTGTTTTGCAATTAAACAATTGGTTGGTTAGACTCGTTACAAATGAGACACAAGAAAGAAGGGAAAATGGTTACAGGAATATCTCCCAGAGAATCTCTTAGCCCATTACATCTTACTCCCTGATCAAACGATTAAAAAAAAAAGTAGATGCTTTTGTTGCCGAGTTGGCTAAAGCGCCATCCAAGTGAGATGGGCTCTCCAGGAATGGTCATGCAACTCTGAATCTCATAGCTACCTTTTATTTTCTGATTTCGCGCTGTCTACTCGCTGTGTTGAGTGTGCGGGTAGAGTAAAGGTTATCGTATTGGGAAAGAGAAATCTGTGGCCCGAGTTCGAAATCTGGTCGAGGTCGTTATGTTCCTTTTCGTAAAAATACACATGGGGGTGGTATGGTTATTTTTTTAAGCCTAGCTTAGATGTGGCAAAATCATGAAGCACCCAGTGAGGATTGAACTCATTATTCAATCGTAATTGTTCTAGCGAGACAAACTTTGCTAACCATTACATCACGTCAAGATGTCCCTTGGGGATGGTACGAGTCCTTATCTTCTCCCACCATCCGTGGATTACTTAGCAGGGTGGACTAGACTATCTTGCATTGAAGTGGCAACCAACCTGGGAAAAGGAAAAGTTAGAATTCAAAAGCAACCTGAAGATGGATGGAATTCTTCAGATTATCTTATCCTGACATACTACTGCTGCTATGTAGTAGTTCTGTGATCCAAACAGGTTACGGAACCCATTATCGGCAATAATAGAATGGAGTAAAGTTCATAATAGAATATTAATAGTTTTGGGATGAAAATTAACATCAAGATGATGTAAAACTGGTAATAAATTAAGAGCATCGTCTGACTCTTGTAGTAGAAAAATAAATACTTATATGATAGGGTAAAAGCTAGTAATATAATAGTTTGGGTCCCCACTCCTCTCTTTGAGGCTTTGGCATCACATTTTTTTCATGCTTGTCTTTGGCACTGGTCTTTTATTCTATGTTAGTAGTTGGTTCTTCCTCTTATTCTATGTCTTTGTCAACCCCATTTCTTTCTGTTTTCCTATGTCTGTCTTTTGCTGCCGTGTCTCACTTCTCTGTCTGTTTTTGGCTTCCCCTCCGTATTTTTGTCTGTCTTTTTGTTCTTCTTTTCTATCTTTGTTCCTCTATGGCTCCTGCCTCTCTACGTCAGACTCTCGTTGGCTCCTCCACACATTTTTATCTTTACCTTCTGCGTGTCTATTTCTCTTTGTCTATTGTTCAACCGTCTCCAACTTTGTCTCTCTTTGGCTAACCCGTTCCTATCTCTGTTTGTCTTTGGCTACGCCGTCTCTATCTCTGCCCCTCTTTGACTCATCCATCTCTATTTCCGTCTTTGTTTGTCCGCACCCAGTTATATTTCTATTTGACCGTGGCTCTCTGTCCGTCTTCGATTTAATACCCTCTATTACTGTCTGTCTTTAGCCTGCCCATCTCTTTGACTCTCCCGCCTCTATCTCTATCTCTCTTTAGCCTATCTATCGCTTAGGTTTCCCCGCCACTATCACTGTGTCTTTAGCCTGTCCATCTCTTTGCCTTGCCCGCCTCTATCTCTGTCTATATTAGCCTGTTCATCTATTTGTCTTCCCAACCTCTATCTCTGTCTGGCTTAAACCTGTCCATCACATTGTTTTCCCTACCTCTACCTCTGTCTGTCCATGTCTTGACCGCCTCTATCTCTGTCTGTATTTAGCCTGCATTCTCTTTTGCTCCACCGCCTCTATGTATATCTGTCATTAGCCTGTCTATCTCTTTGGCTTTCCCGCCTCTATCAATGTCTTTATACTGTCCATCTCTTTGGCCACTCTGCCTCTATCTATGTGTGATTTTACCCTGTCCATGTATTTGCCGCCTCTGCCTCTATCTCTGTCTGTCTTTAACCTATCCATCTCATTGGCTTCCCTGCCTCTATATCTGTCAGTCTTTAGCCTGTCCATCTGTTTGGCTCCCCCGACACTATCTCTATGCGTCCTCAGCCTGTCCATCTCCTTGTCTTCCCGCATCTCTGTCTGTCTTGAGCCTGTCCGTCTCTATGGCTCCACCGCCTCTATCTCTGTCTGTCATTAGCCTATCCATCTCTTTGGCTTCCCACCCTTCCTCGCATTTATCTCAGTATGTCTTTAGCCTGACCATCTTTTGGCACCCCGACTTTAACTCTTTCTGCCTTTAGCCTGTCCATCTTTTTGGTTTCCTTGCCTTTATATCTGTCTTTAGACTGTCCATATCTTTGACCACCCTTATCTATCTCTGGCGGACTTTAGCCTGTCCATCAATTTGGTTCCCCCGCTTCAATCTCTGTCTGTCTTTAGCTTGTCCATCTCTTTGGCTCACCCTCATCAATCTCTATCTCTATTTAGCTTGTCCATCTCTTTGGCTTCAATCTATATCTGTAGCCTGTTCATCTCTTTGACTTCCCCGCCTCTATCTCTGTTTTAGCCTGTCCATCTTTTTGGCACCTCCACCTCAATCTCAGTCTGTATTTTGCCTGTCCATCTCTTTGCCCCCCACCGCCTCGCATTTATCTTTGTCAGTCTTTAGCCTGTCCATCGTTTTGTCTCCCCCTCCACAATCTCTATCTGTCTTTAGCCTGTTCATATCTTTGCACCCCCACCCTCGCCTCTATCTCTGTCTTTAGCCTGTCCATCTCTTTGTCTCCTCCGAATCTATCTATGTCTGTCTTTGACATATCCATATCTTTGGTTTCCCTGCCTCTATATCTGTATGTCTTTATCCTGTACATCTCTTTGGCTCCCCCTCATCTATCTTTACATGTATTTAGCTCGTAGATCTCTTTGGTTTCCCCGCGTCTATCTCTGTCTTAAGGATGTCCATCACTTTATCTTCCCCGCCTCTATCTCTAGCCCAATACATCTCTATGCCTTCCCCGCCTCTATCTCTATCTTTAGCCTGTCCTTCTCTTTGGCCCCTCCGCCTCTATCTCTGTCTGTAATTTTGCGCGACTTTCTTTTTGCCCCCTACGCATTTATCTTTGTCTTTCCTTAGCTTGACCATCGTTTTGGCTCCCCCACCTCTATCTCTACCTATCTTTAGGATGTGCATGTCTTTGTCTTCCACTATCTCTGTCTTTAGCCTATTCATCTCTTTGGCCCCTCCACCTCTATATCTATCTATCCATATCTTTGTCTCCTTCCGCATCTATCTCTGTCCGTCTTTAGCCTCTCCTTCTTTTTGGCTCCCGCAACTCTATCCCTGTCTTTAGCCTGTCCATCTCTTTGCCATCCCCGCTTCCATCTCTCTCTTTAGCTTGTCTTTCTCTTTGGCCCCATTTGCATATATCTTTGTCTGTCTTTAGCCTGTCCATCTCTTTGGCATTCCCGCCTCTATCTCTGTCTGTCATTAGCCCGTCCATCTCTTTGGCTTTCTCGCCTCAAATTGTATCTGTCTTTATCCTGTCCATCTTTTTGGCTGCAGCGCCTCTATCTCTGTCTTTAGCCTGTCCATCTCTTTGCCTTCCCCGCCTCTATCTCTGTCTTTAGCCTGTCCATCTCTTTGCCTTCCCCGCCTCTATCTCTGTCTTTAGCCTGTCCATCTCTTTGCCTCCCCCCTCTATCTCTGTCTTTAGCCTGTCCATCTCTTTGCCTTCCCCCGCTCTATCTGTCTTTAGCCTGTCCATCTCTTTGCCTTCCTGCCTCTATTTCTGTCTTTAGCCTGTCCATCTCTTTGCCTTCCCCGCCTCTATCTCTGTCTTTTAGCTGTCTTCTTTAGCCTGTCTCTCTTTCTCTGCCTCCCTCTCTTTGCCTTCCCCGCTATCTCTGTCTTTAGCCTGTCCATCTCTTTGCCTGTCCATCTCTTTGCCTTCCCCGCCTCTATCTCTGTCTTTAGTCTGTCCATGTCATTGCCTTCCCCACCTCTATCTCTGTCCTCTCTTGCCTTCCCCTCTATCTCTGTCTTTAGCCTGTCCATCTCTTTGCCTTCCCCGCCTCTATCTCTGTCTTTAGCCTGTCCCTCTTTGCCTTCCCCGCCTCTATCTCTGTCTTTAGCCTGTCCATCTCTTTGCCTCCCCAGCCTCTATCTCTGTCTTTAGCCTGTCCCTCTTTGCCTTCCCCCTCCTCTATCTCTGTCTTTAGCCTGTCCATCTCTTTGCCTTCCCCGCCTCTATCTCTGTCTTTAGCCTGTCCATCTCTTTGCCTTCCCCGCCTCTTTTTCTGTCTTTAGCCTGTCTATCTCTTTTTCCCCCTCCGCTCTATCTCTGTCTTTTAGCCTGTCTCTTTTGCCTCCCTTCCTCTATCTCTGTCTTTAGCCTGTCTATCTCTTTGCCTTAACTGTCTCTATCTCTGTCATTAGCCTGTCCATCTCTTTGCCTTCCCCCATTCCTCTATCTCTGTCTTTAGCCTGTCCATCTCTTTGCCTTTCCCCCAAGCCTCTATCTCTGTCTTTAGCCTGTCCATCTCTTTGCCATTCCCTTCCTCTCTGTCTGTCTTTTAGCCTGTCCATCTCTTCGGCCTTCTCGCCTCCTCTATCTCTGTCTTTAGCCTGTCCATCTTTTTGCCTTCCCCACCTCTATCTCTGTCTTTAGCCTGTCCATCTCTTTGCCTTCCCCCCGCCTCTATCTCTGTCTTTAGCCTGTCCATCTCTTTGCCTTCCCCCGCTCTATCTCTGTCTTTTTGCCTCTCTGTCTTTAGCCTGTCCATCTCTTTTTGCCTTCCCGCCTCTCTCTGTCTTTATCCTGTCCATCTCTTTTGGCTCCCCCACCTCTATCTCTGTCTTTAGCCTGTCCATCTCTTTGCCTTCCCCACCTCTATCTCTGTCTTTAGCCTGTCCATCTTGCCTTCCTGGCCTCTATCTCTGTCTTTAGCCTGTCCATCTTTTAGCCTCCTCTCTGATCTCTGTCTTTAGCCTGTCCATCTTTTGCCTTCCCTGCTCTATCTCTGTCTTTAGCCTGTCCATCTCTTTTTGCCTTCCCCCCGTCTATCTCTGTCTTTATGTCCATCTCTTTGCCTTCCCCCGCCTCTATCTCTGTCTTTAGCCTGTCCATCTCTTTTTGCATCCCCCTCCGACTCTATCTCTGTCTTTAGCCTGTCCATCTCTTTGCCTTCCCCGCCTCTATCTCTGTCTTTAGCCTGTCCATCTCTTTGCCTCCCTCCGCCTCTATCTCTGTCTTTAGACTGTCCATCTCTTTGCCTTCCCCGCCTCTATCTCTGTATTAGCCTGTCCATCTCTTTGCCTTCCCCACCTCTATCTCTGTCTTTAGCCTGTCCATCTCTTTGCCTTCCCCACTCTATATCTCTGTCTTTAGCCTGTCCATCTCTTTTGCCTTCCCCGCCTCTATCTCTGTGTCTTTAGCTGTCCATGTCATCTCTTTGTCCTCCCTCCGCCTCTATCTCTGTCTTTAGCCTGTCCATCTCTTTGCCATCCCCGCCTCTATCTCTGTCTTTTAGCCTGTCCATCTCTTTTGCCTTCCCCGCCTCTATCTCTGTCTTTAGCCTGTCCATCTCTTTGCCTTCCCCCCAGCCTCTATTGTCTTTCCTGTCCATCTCTTTGCCTTCAGCCTCTATCTCTGTCTTTAGCCTGTCCATCTCTTTTTTGCCTTCCCCATACTCTATCTCTGTCTTTAGCCTGTCCATCTTTTTCCCCCCATCTCTGTCTTAGACTGTTCATCTCTTTGCCTCCCTCCGGCCTCTATCTCTGTCTTTAGCCTGTCCATCTCTTTGCCTTCCCCCCTCTATCTCTGTCTTTAGCCTGTCCATCTCATTGCCTTCCCTCTCTCTCTCTGTCTTTTAGCCCATCTTTTTGCCTTTCCCGCCTCTATGTCTGTCTTTAGCCTGTCCATCTTTTGCCTTCCCCGCCTCTATCTCTGTCTTTAGCCTGTCCATCTTTTTGCCTTCCACGCCTCTATCTCTGTCTTTAGCCTGTCCATCTCTTTGCCTTCCCCGCCTCTATCTCTGTCTTTAGCCTCCATCTCTTTGCCTTCCCTCCGCTCTATCTCTGTCTTTAGCCTGTCCATCTTTTGCCTTCCCTGCCTCTATCTCTGTCTTTAGCCCGTCCATCTCTTTGCCTTCCCCGCCTCTATCTCTGTCTTTAGCCTGTCCATCTCTTTGCCTTCAACGCCTCTATCTCTGTCTTTAGCCTGTCCATCTCTTTGCCTTCCACGCCTCTATCTCTGTCTTTAGCCTGTCCATCTTTTGCCTTCCCCTGCCTCTATCTCTGTCTTTTAGCCTGTCCATCTCTTTGCCTCCTCCCTCCTCTGTCTTTGGCTCTATCTCTCTCTTTTTGCCTTCCTGTCCATCTTTGCCTTTTGCCTTTCTATCTCTGTCTTTAGACTGTCCATCTCTTTGCCTCCTCCGCCTCCTCTCTGTCTTTAGCCTGTCCATCTCTTTGCTCTATCTCTGTCTTTAGCCTGTCCATCTCTTTGCCTTCCCCGCCTCCTCTGTCTTTAGTCCTCTCTTTTGCTCCATCTATCATTTTAGCCTCCCTCTTTTCCCTGCCTCTATCTCTGTCTGTTTAGCCTGTCCATCTCTTTTTGCCTTCCCCCACCTCTATCTCTGTCTTTAGCCTGTCCATCTCTTTTTGCCTTCCCCACCCTCTATCTCTGTCTTTAGCCTGTCCATCTCTTTGCCTTCCCCTGCCTCTATCTCTGTCTTTAGGCCTGTCCATCTCCTTCCCCCGCCTCTATCTCTGTCTTTAGCTCCGTCCATCTCTTTTTGCCTCCCTCCCTCTATCTCTGTCTTTAGCCTGTCCATCTCTTTGCCTTCCCCGTCCTCTATCTCTGTCTTTAGCCTGTCCATCTCTTTGCCTGTCCTATCTCTGTCTTTTAACCTGTCCATCTCTTTTGCCTTCCCCTGCCTCTATCTCTGTCTTTAGGCCTGTCCATCTCCATTTGCCTTCCCCTCCTCTGTCTCTGTCTTTTGCCTGTCCCCTTTTGCCTCCCTCCGCCTCTGTCTTTAGCCCGTCCATCTCTTTGCCTTCCCGCCTCTATCTCTGTCTTTAGCCTGTCCATCTCTTTGCCTTCCCCGCCTCTATCTCTGTCTTTAGCCTGTCCATCTCTTTGCCTTCCCCGCCTCTATCTCTGTCTTTAGCCTGTCCATCTCTTTGCCTTCCCCGCCTCTATCTCTGTCTTTAGCCTGTCCATCTCTTTGGCATTCCCCTGCCTATCTCTGTCTTTAGTCTGTCCATCTCTTTGTCCCTCTATCTCTATCTCTGTCTTTAGCCTGTCCATCTCTTTTTGCCTCCTTGGCCTCTCCTTTAATTGTCCATCTATCCTCCATCTTTTTTCTTTAGCTCTATCTCTTTCCTCTATGTCTGTCCATCCGTCTCTCTTTCTCTCTGTCTTTAGCCTGTCCATCTCTTTTATTCCCCTGCCTCTATCTCTGTCTTTAGCCTGTCCATCTCTTTGCCTTCCTGGCTATCTATCTCTGTCTTTAGCTGTCATCTCTTTGGTCTTCCCCCGTTCTCTTTTTAGCCTCCATCTATCCTATCTGTCTTTAGCCTGTCCATCTTTTTTGCTCCATCCCTCTATGTCTGTCTTTAGCCTGTCCATCTTTTTGCCTTCCCTCTATCTCTGTCTTTAGCCTGTCCATCTCTTTTTGCCTTCCCCGCCTCTATCTCTGTCTTTAGCCTGTCCATCTCTTTTGCCCCTCCGCCTCTATCTCTGTCTTTAGCCTGTCCATCTCTTTCTCTATCTCTGTCTTTAGCCATCTCTTTTCCCTTCCCCGCTCTTCTTTAGCCTGTCCTCTCCCATTCCCGCCTCTATCTCTGTCTTTCATTAGCCCTGTCCATCTCTTTTGCCTTTTGCCTCAAATTCTATCTCTCTTTTATCCTGTCCATCTCTTTTGCCTTCCTCGCCTCTATCTCTGTCTTTAGCCTGTCCATCTCTTTGCCTTCCCCTGCCTCTATCTCTGTCTTTAGCCTGTCCATCTCTTTGCCTTCCCCGCCTCTATCTCTGTCTTTAGCCTGTCCATCTCTTTGCCTTCCCCTCTCTGTCTCTATTTCTGTCTTTAGCCTGTCCATCTCTTTGCCTTCCCCCCTTCCTCTATCTCTGTCTTTAGCCTGTCCATCTCTTTGCCTCCCTCCGCCTCTATCTCTGTCTTTAGCCTGTCCATCTCTTTTGCCTCCATCCGCATTCCATCTCTTTTTCCCTCTCCATCTCTTTGTTCCCCTGTCTCTGTCTTTAGCCTGTCCATCTCTTTGCTTCCCTCCCTCTATCTCTGTCTTTAGCCTGTCCATCTCTTTGCCTTCCCCCTCTCTATCTCTGTCTTTAGCCTGTCCATCTTTTGCCTCTTTTCTGTCTTTAGCCTGTCCAATCTTTGCCTTCCCCCCCTCTATCTCTGTCTTTAGCCGTCCATCTCTTTTGCCTTCCCCCGCCTCTATCTCTGTCTTTAGCCTGTCCATCTCTTTTGCCTTCCCCTGCCTCTATCTCTGTCTTTAGCCTGTCCATCTCTTTGCCTTCCCCTCCCTCTATCTCTGTCTTTTAGCCTGTCCATCTCTTTTTGCCTTCCCTGCCTCATCTCTGTCTTTAGCCTGTCCATCTCTTTGCTCCCTATCTCTATCTCTTCTTTAGCCTGTCCATCTCTTTGCCTTCCCCCCTCTCTATCTCTGTCTTTAGCCTGTCCATCTCTTTTGCCTTCCCCTCTATCTCTGTCTTTAGCCTGTCCATCTCTTTTGCTTCCCTCCGCCTCTATCTCTGTCTTTAGCCTGTCCATCTCTTTTGCCTTCCCCATCTTTTATCTCTCTGTCTTTAGCCTGTCCATCTCTTTGCCTTCCCCGCCTCTATCTCTGTCTTTCCATTAGCCTGTCCATCTCTTTTTAGCCTCCATCTCGTTCCCCGCATCTCTGTCTTTAGCCTGTCCATCTCTTTTGCCTTCCGCCTTTATCTCTGTCTTTAGCCTGTCCATCTCTTTTTATTTCCCCTCCTCTCTGTCTGTCCATTTAGCTCTGTCCATCTCTTTTTGACTTTCTCGCCTCTAATTCTATCTGTCTTTATCCTGTCCATCTCTTTGCCTTCCCCCGCCTCTATCTCTGTCTTTAGCCTGTCCATCTCTTTTTTTGGCTCCCCTGCCTCTATCTCTGTCTTTAGCCTGTCCATCTCTTTTTGCCTCCCTCCGCCTCTATCTCTGTCTTTAGCCTGTCCATCTCTTTGCCTTCCCCTCTCTATCTCTGTCTTTAGCCTGTCCATCTCTTTTGCCTTCCCCGCCTCTATCTCTGTCTTTAGCCTGTCCATCTCTTTTTTAACCTCCCCCGCCTCTATCTCTGTCTTTAGCCTGTCCATCTCTTTGCCTTCCGCCTCTATCTCTGTCTTTAGCCTGTCCATCTCTTTGCCTTCCCTCCGCCTCTATCTCTGTCTTTAGCCTGTCCATCTCTTTGCATCCCCGCCTCTATATCTCTGTCTTTAGCCTGTCCATCTTTTGCCTTCCCCTGCCTCTATCTCTGTCTTTAGCCTGTCCATCTATCTTTTTGCCTTTCCATCTGCTCTATCTCTGTCTTTAGCCTGTCCATCTCTTTGCCTTCCCCCTGCCTCTATCTCTGTCTTTTAGCCTGTCCATCTCCTTCCCTGCCTGCTCTGTCCCCTGTCCATCTCTTTTTGCCTTCCCCGCCTCTATCTCTGTCTTTAGCCTGTCCATCTCTTTGCCTCCATCCGCCTCTATCTCTGTCTTTTGGCCTGTCCATCTCTTTGCCTTCCCTGCCTCTATCTCTGTCTTTAGCCTGTCCATCTCTTTTCCCCTCTATCCTGTTCATCTCTGTCTTTAGCCTGTCCATTTTTTGCCTCCATCCCCCTCCACCTATCTCTGTCTTTATCTCTGTCCATATCTCTTTTCCCCCTATCTCTGTCCATCCTGTCCATTTGCCTTCCCTCCTCTATCTCTGTCTTTAGCCTGTCCATCTCTTTTTGCCTTCCCCGCCTCTATCTCTGTCTTTAGCCTGTCCATCTCTTTGCCTCTTCCGCCTCTATCTCTGTCTTTAGCCTGTCCATCTCTTTTGCCTCCCCCACCTCTATCTCTGTCTTTAGCCTGTCCATCTCTTTGCCTTCCCTGCCTCTATCTCTGTCTTTTAGCCTGTCCATCTTTTTTGCCTTCCCTGCCTCTATCTCTGTCTTTAGCCTGTCCATCTCTTTTGCCTTCTCCGCCTCTATCTCTGTATTAGCCTGTCCATCTCTTTTGCCTCCCCCCTCTATCTCTGTCTTTTAGCCTGTCCATCTTTTGCCTTCCCCCACTCTTATCTCTGTCCATCCTGTCCATCTTTGCCTTCCCTGCCTCTATCTCTGTCTTTAGCCTGTCCATCTATTTTTTGCCTTCCCTGTCTATCTCTGTATTTAGCCTGTCCATCTCTTTTGCCTTCCCTGCCTCTATCTCTGTCTTTAGCCTGTCCATCTCTTTTTTGCCTTCCCCCTGTCCTCTATCTCTGTCTTTAGCCTGTCCATCTCTTTGCCTTCCCCCCGCCTCTATCTCTGTCTTTAGCCTGTCCATCTCTTTGCCTTCCCCCCCCTCTATCTCTGTCTTTAGCCTGTCCATCTCTTTGCCTTTAGCCTCTATCTCTGTCTTTAGCCTGTCCATCTTTTGCCTTCCCCGCCTCTATCTCTGTCTTTAGCCTGTCCATCTCTTTGCCTTCCCCCGCCTCTATCTCTGTCTTTAGCCTGTCCATCTCTTTGTTCCATCTCTCTCTGTCTTTAGCCTGTCCATCTCTTTGCCTCCCTCCGCTTGCTTCTCTGTCTTTAGCCTGTCCATCTCTTTGCCTTCCCCTGCCTCTATCTCTGTCTTTAGCCTGTCCATCTCTTTTGCCTTCCTCCGCCTTTATCTCTGTCTTTTAGCTTTCTCCATCTGTTCCTTGCCTCTATCTCTGTCTTTAGCCTGTCCATCTCTTTGCCTTCCCCGCCTCTATCTCTGTCTTTAGCCTGTCCATCTTCTTTTTGCCTTCATCCCTGCCTCTATGTCTGTCTTTAGCTCTGTCCATCTCTTTTGCCTCCCTCCGCCTCTATCTCTGTCTTTAGCCTGTCCATCTCTTTGCCTTCCCCGCCTCTATCTCTGTGTCTTTAGCCTGTCCATCTTTTGCCTTCCCCGCCTCTATCTCTGTCTTTAGCCTGTCCATCTCTTTGCCTTCCCCGCCTCTATCTGTCTTTAGCCTGTCCATCTCTTTTTGCCTCCCCCGCCTCTATCTCTGTCTTTAGCCTGTCCATCTCTTTTGCCTCCCTCCGCCTCTATCTCTGTCTTTAGCCTGTCCATCTCTTTTGCCTTCCCCGCCTCTATCTCTGTCTTTAGCCTGTCCATCTCTTTTGCCTTCCCCTACGCCTCTATCTCTCTGTCTTTAGCCTGTCCATCTCTTTGCCTTCCCCTCCTCTATCTCTGTCTTTAGCCTGTCCATCTCTTTGCCTCCCTCCGCCTCTATCTCTGTCTTTAGCCTGTCCATCTCTTTGCCTCCCTCCGCCTCTATCTCTGTCTTTAGCCTGTCCATCTCTTTGCCTTCCTCTATCTCTGTCTTTTAGCCTGTTCTCTATCTCTGTCTTTAACCTGTCCATCTCTTTGCCTTTCCTATCTGCCTCTATCTCTGTCTTTAGCCTGTCCATCCCTCCCCGTCTCTATCTCTGTCTTTAGCCTGTCCATCTCTTTGCCTTCCTCCGCCTTTTATCTCTGTCTTTAGCCTGTCCATCTCTTTGGCCTTCCCCACCCTCTATCTCTGTCTTTAGCCTCCGCCTCTATCCTTTTGTCCATCCATCTCTTTTTAGCCTTCCATCTCTTTTTCCTCCTGTCTTTATCCTGTCCATCTTTCTCTGTCTCTGTCTTTAGCCTGTCCATCTCTTTGCCTTCCCCTCAAATTCTATCTCTGTCTTTTACTATGTCCATCTCTTTTTCCTTCCCTCTTTGCCCGCATCTATCTCTGTCTTTAGCCTGTCCATCTCTTTTTGCCTTCCCCCTCTATCTCTGTCTTTAGCCTGTCCATCTCTTTGCCTCCCTCCGCCTCTATCTCTGTCTTTGTCCATCTCTGTCCATCTCTTTCTTTAGCCTTCCCTCTTTGCCTTCCCAACCTCTATCTCTGTCTTTAGACTGTCCATCTCTTTGCCTCCCCCGCCTCTATCTCTCTGTCTTTAGCCTCCATCTCTTTTATCCTGCCTTCCCCCGCCTCTATCTCTGTCTTTAGCCTGTCCATCTCTTTGCCTTCCCCGCCTCTATCTCTGTCTCTTTAGCCTGTCCATCTCTTTGCCTTCCCCCCTCTATCTCTGTCTTTAGCCTGTCCATCTCTTTTTGCCTTCCCCGCCTCTATCTCTGTCTTTATCCATCTGCCTTCCCCCATACTCTATCTCTGTCTTTAGCCTGTCCATCTCTTTGCCTTCCCTGCCTCTATCTCTGTCTTTCTCTTTTGCCTTCCATCTCTATCTCTTCTTTAGCCTGTCCATCTCCCTCCCCCTATCTCTGTCTTTAGCCTGTCCATCTCTTTTGCCTTCCCCCTGCCTCTATCTCTGTCTTTAGCCTGTCCATCTCTTTGCCTTCCCCACCTTTATCTCTGTCTTTAGCCTGTCCATCTCTTTGGCATTCCCTGCCTCTCTCTCTCTGTCTTTAGCCTGTCCATCTCTTTGCCTTTTCTCCCCCGCCTCTATCTCTGTCTTTATCCTGTCCATCTTTTGCCTTCCTTGGCACCTCTATCTCTGTCTTTAGCCTGTCCATCTCTTTGCCTTCCCCGCCTCTATCTCTGTCTTTAGCCTGTCCATCTCTTTGCCTCCCCTGCCTCTATCCCTCTTTAGCCTGTCCATCTCTCTTTGCATTCCCTGCCTCTATCTCTGTCTTTAGCCTGTCCATCTCTTTGCCTTCCCCGCCTCTATCTCTGTCTTTAGCCTGTCCATCTCTTTTTGCCTTCCCCGCCTCTATCTCTGTCTTTAGACTGTCCATCTCTTTGCCTCCCCTGTTCCTCCCTCTATCTCTGTCTTTAGCCTGTCCATCACTTTTGCCCCCCTCTTTGTCTTTAGCTGTCCATCTCATTATCCTTCCCTGTCCTATCTCTGTCTTTAGCCTGTCCATCTCTTTGCCTTCCCGCCTCTATCTCTGTCTTTAGCCTGTCCATCTCTTTTGCCTTCCCCTATCTCTCTGTCTTTAGCCTGTCCATCTCTTTGCCTTCCGCCTCTATCTCTGTCTTTTAGGCCTGTCCATCTCTTTGCCTTCCCTGCCTCTATCTCTGTCTTTAGCCTGTCCATCTCTTTGCCTTCCCCGCCTCTATCTCTGTCTTTGGGCCTGTCCATCTCTTTGCCTTCCCTGCCTCTATCTCTGTCTTTAGCCTGTCCATCTCTTTGCCTTTTCCCTGTCCATCTCTTTGCCTGTCTATCTCTGTCTTTAGCCTGTCCATCTCTTTGCCTTTCCCTGCCTCTATCTCTGTCTTTAGCCTGTCCATCTCTTTGCCTTCCCCCCTATATCTCTGTCTTTAGCCTGTCCATCCCCGCCTCTATCTCTGTCTTTAGCCTGTCCATCTCTTTGCCTCTATCCGCCTCTGTCTTTTAGCCTGTCCATCTCTTTGCCTTCCCTGCCTCTATCTCTGTCTTTAGCCTGTCCATCTCTTTGCCTCCCCCCGCCTCTATCCCTTTTCTCTGTCTTTAGCCTGTCCATCTCTTTTTTGCCTTCCCCAGCCTCTATCTCTGTCTTTGTCCATCTCTTTGCCTCCCTCCATCTCTTTTTGCCTTCCCCGCCTCTATCTCTGTCTTTTTAGCCTGTCCATCTCTTTTGCTTCCCCTGCCTCTATCTCTGTCTTTAGCCTGTCCATCTCTTTGCCTTCCCCGCCTCTATCTCTGTCTTTAGCCTGTCCATCTTTTTGCCTCCCGCCTCTATCTCTGTCTTTAGCCTGTCCATCTCTTTGCCTTCCCCTGCCTCTATCTCTGTCTTTAGCCTGTCCATCTCTTTGCCTTCCCCTCCGCCTCTGTCTTTAGCCTGTCCATCTTTTTGCCCTATCCCTGTCCATCTATCTCTGTCTTTAGCCTGTCCATCTCTTTGCCTTGTCCCTCTCCGCCTCTATCTCTGTCTTTAGCCTGTCCATCTCTTTTTTCCCCTGCCTCTATCTCTGTCTTTAGCTCCATCTCTTTGCCTTCCCCCCTGCCTATCTCTGTCTTTTAGCCTGTCCATCTCTTTTGCCTTCCCTGCCATTTATCTCTGTCTTTAGCCTGTCCATCTCTTTTGCATTTCCTCTCTATCTCTGTCTTTAGCCTGTCCATCTCTTTTGCCTTCCCCTTGCCTGTCCATCTCTTTATCTATCTCTGTCTTTAGCCTGTCCATCTTTTTGCCTTCCCCCTACCTCTTATCTCTGTCTTTAGCCTGTCCATCTTTTTGGCTCCCTCCTCTGTCTTTAGGCTGTCCATCTCTGTCTTTTAGCCTGTCCATCTCTTTTGCCTTCCCATCTGCCTTCTATCTCTGTCTTTAGCCTGTCCATCTCCTTTGCCTCTATCTCTGTCTTTAGCCTGTCCATCTCTTTTTGCCTTCCCCTGCCTCTATCTCTGTCTTTAGCCTGTCCATCTTTTTTTCTCGCCTTCCCTTTATCCTGTCCATCTTTTGGCTCTCTGTCTTTAGCCTGTCCATCTCTTTGCCTTCCCGCCTCTATCTCTGTCTTTAGTCCCATCTGCCTTCCATCTATCTCTGTCTTTAGCCTGTCCATCTCTTTGCCCCCGCCTCTATCTCTGTCTTTAGCCTGTCCATCTCTTTGCCTTCCCCCCTCTATCTCTGTCTCTGTCCATTTTTGCCTGTCCATCTCTTTTTAGCTGTCTATCTCTTTCCCTCCGCCTCTATCTCTGTCTTTAGCCTGTCCATCTCTTTTGCCTTCCCCCGCCTCTATCTCTGTCTTTCCATCCTCCCCCGCCTCTATCTCTGTTTTAGCCTTCCATCTTTTTTCCCCTGCCTCTCTATCTCTGTCTTTAGCCTGTCCATCTCTTTTTTGCCTTCCTTTATCTCTGTCCATCTCTTTCCATCTCTTTGCCTTCCCCCCTCTATCTCTGTCTTTAGCCTGTCCATCTTTTTTGCTTGCCTTCACCTGCTCTATCTCTGTCTTTAGCCTGTCCATCTCTTTGCCCCCCGCCTCTGTCTTTAGCCTGTCCATCTCTTTTGCCTTCCCCTGCCTCTATCTCTGTCTTTAGCCTGTCCATCTCTTTGCCTCCCCCCCCTCTGTCTCTGTCTTCTGTCCATTTAGCCTGTCCATCTCTTTTGCCTTCCCACCTCTATCTCTGTCCATCTTAGCCTGTCCATCTCTTTTGCCTTCCCCCGCCTCTATCTCTGTCTTTCCATCTCTTTGCCTGTCCATCTATTTTTTAGCCTGTCCTCCGCCTCTATCTCTGTCTTTTAGCCTGTCCATCTCTTTTTGCCTCCCCCCTGCTCTATCTCTGTCTTTTGTCTTTAGCCTGTCCATCTCCTTTTGCCTTCCCCTTCCTCCATCTATCTCTGTCTTTAGCCTGTCCATCTCTTTTTAGCCTGTCCATCTTTGCCCTCCTGTCCATCTCTTTGCCTCCTCCTTTGCCTCTATCTCTGTCTTTAGCCATGTCCATCTCTTTTGCCTTCCATCTCTTTGCCCCCCCCTCTATCTCTGTCTTTAGCCTCCATCTCTTTGCCTCCCTCCTCTATCTTGTCTTTAGCCTGTCCATCTCTTTGCCTCCCCATCTTTGCCTTCCCCGCCTCTATCTCTGTCTTTAGCCTGTCCATCTCTTTGCCTTCCCCACCTCTATCTCTTTAGCTGTCTGTGTCTTTCCCATTTTGCCTCTGCCTCATCTCTGTCTTTAGCCTGTCCATCTCTTTTGCCTTCCCCCGCCTCTATCTCTGTCTTTAGCCTGTCCATCTCTTTGCCTTCCCCTGCCTCTATCTCTGTCTTTAGCCTGTCCATCTCATTGCCTTCCCCGCCTCTATCTCTGTCTTTAGCCTGTCCATCTTTTTGCCTTCCCTGCCTCTATCTGTCTTTAGCCTGTCCATCTCTTTGCCTTCCCCTGCCTCTATCTCTGTCTTTAGCCTGTCCATCTCTTTGCCTTCCCCCTGCCTCTATCTCTGTCTTTAGCCTGTCCATCTCTTTTGCCTTCCCCGCCTCTATCTCTGTCTTTAGCCTGTCCATCTCTTTTGCTCCCCCTGCCTCTATCTCTGTCTTTAGCCTGTCCATCTCTTTTTGCCTTCCCCTGCCTCTATCTCTGTCTTTAGCCTGTCCATCTCTTTGCCTTCCCCTCCCTCTATCTCTGTCTTTAGCCTGTCCATCTCTTTGCCTTTTCCCCTCTCTATCTCTGTCTTTTAGCCTGTCCATCTCTTAGCCTGTCCTTCCCCGCCTCTATCTCTGTCTTTAGCCTGTCCATCTCTTTGCCTTCCCTGTCTTTAGCCTGTCCATATCTCTGTCTTTAGCCTGTCCATCTCTTTTGCCTTCCCTATCTCTATCTCTGTCTTTAGTCCTGTCCATCTCTTTTTTGCCTTCCCTGCCTCTATCTCTGTCTTTAGCCTGTCCATCTCTTTGCCTTCCTGTCCTGTCCTCTCTCTGTCTTTCTAGCCTGTCCATCTCTTTGCCTTCCCCTGCCTCTATCTCTGTCTTTAGCCTGTCCATCTCTTTTGCCTTCCCTTTTGCCCTCTATCTCTGTCTTTAGCCTGTCCATCTCTTTGCCTTCCCTGCCTCTATCTCTGTCTTTAGCCTGTCCATCTCTTTTGCTTCCCCCTCCTCTATCTCTGTCTTTAGCCTGTCCATCTCTTTTGCCTGTCCATCTCTTTGCCTGCAGCGCCTCTATCTCTGTCTTTAGCCTGTCCATCTCTTTTGCCTTCTGCCTCTATCTCTGTCTTTAGCCTGTCCATCTCTTTGCCTCCCTCCGCCTCTATCTCTGTCTTTAGCCTGTCCATCTCTTTGCCTTCCCCGCCTCTATCTCTGTCTTTAGCCTGTCCATCTCTTTGCCTTCCCCGCCTCTATCTCTGTCTTTAGCCTGTCCATCTCTTTGCCTCCCTCCGCCTCTATCTCTGTCTTTAGCCTGTCCATCTCTTTGCCTTCCCCGCCTCTATCTCTGTCTTTAGCCTGTCCATCTCTTTTTAGCCTTCCCTCTTTGCCTCTATCTCTGTCTTTAGCCTGTCCATCTCTTTTGCCTCCCCCGCCTCTGTCTCTGTCTTTAGCCTGTCCATCTCTTTGCCTTCCCTGCCTCTATCTCTGTCTTTAGCCTGTCCATCTCTTTGCCTTCCCCCGCCTCTATCTCTGTCTTTTTAGCCTGTCCATCTTTTGCCTTCCCCGCCTCTATCTCTGTCTTTAGCCTGTCCATCTCTTTGCCTCCCTCCGCCTCTATCTCTGTCTTTAGCCTGTCCATCTCTTTGCCTTCCCCGCCTCTATCTCTGTCTTTAGCCTGTCCATCTCTTTGCCTTGCCTCTCTCCCCTGTCCATCTATCTCTGTCTTTAGCCTGTCCATCTCTTTGCCTTCCCCCGCCTCTATCTCTGTCTTTTAGCCTGTCCATCTCTTTTTTGCCTTCCCCGCCTCTATCTCTGTCTTTAGCCTGTCCATCTCTTTGCCTTCCCTCTCCGCCTCTATCTCTGTCTTTAGCCCATGTCCATGTCTTTGCCTTCCCTGCCTCTATCTCTGTCTTTAGCCTGTCCATCTCTTTGCCTTCCCCGCCTCTATCTCTGTCTTTAGCCTGTCCATCTCTTTGCCTTCCCCGCCTCTATCTCTGTCTTTAGCCTGTCCATCTCTTTGCCTTCCCCCTCTCTGTCCTATATCTCTGTCTTTAGCCTGTCCATCTCTTTGCCTTCCCTGCCTCTATCTCTGTCTTTAGCCTGTCCATCTCTTTGCCTCCCCCGCCTCTATCTGTCTTTAGCTGTCCATTTTAGCCTGTCCATCTCTTTTTTGCCTCCATCCCCTGCCTCCTATCTCTGTCTTTAGCCTGTCCATCTCTTTGCCTTCCCCGCCTCTATCTCTGTCTTTAGCCTGTCCATCTCTTTGCCTTCCCCGCCTCTATCTCTGTCTTTAGCCTGTCCATCTCTTTGCCTTCCCCGCCTCTATCTCTGTCTTTAGCCTGTCCATCTCTTTGCCTCCTCTGTCCCTGTCCATCTATCTCTGTCTTTAGCCTGTCCATCTCTTTGCCTTCCCCTCCTCTATCTCTGTCTTTAGCCTGTCCATCTCTTTTTTAGCCTTCCCCCTTCTCTATCTCTGTCTTTAGCCTGTCCATCTCTTTGCCTCCCTCCGCCTCTATCTCTGTCTTTAGCCTGTCCATCTCTTTTGCCTTCCCCCTGCCTCTATCTCTGTCTTTAGCCTGTCCATCTCTTTGCCTTCCCCCTGCCTCTATCTCTGTCTTTAGCCTGTCCATCTCTTTTGCCTTCCCCTGCCTCTATCTCTGTCTTTAGCCTGTCCATCTCTTTGCCTTCCTCCCCTCTATCTCTGTCTCTGTCATTTTAGCCTGTCCATCTCTTTGCCTCCTCCGCCTCTTCTCTCTGTCTGTCCATCTCTTTGCCTTCCCCTGCCTCTATCTCTGTCTTTAGCCTGTCCATCTCTTTGCCTTCCCCCTGCCTCTATCTCTGTCTTTAGCCTGTCCATCTCTTTGCCTTCCCCTCTGCTCTTTTGTCTCTGTCTTTAGCCTGTCCATCTTTTTGTCTTTCCCGCCTCTATCTCTGTCTTTTAGCCTGTCCATCTTTTGCCTTCCCCCTCTATCTCTATCTTTAGCTGTCCATCTTTTTTGCCTTCCCCCGCCTCTATCTCTGTCTTTAGCCTGTCCATCTTTTTTGCCCATCCGCCTCTATCTCTGTCTTTAGCCTGTCCATCTCTTTTGCCTCCCCTGCCTCTATCTCTGTCTTTTAGCCTGTCCATCTTTTGCCTTCCCTCCGTTCTATCTCTGTCTTTAGCCTGTCCATCTCTTTGCCTTCCCCTGCCTCTATCTCTGTCTTTAGCCTGTCCATCTCTTTTGCCTTCCCCCGCCTCTATCTCTGTCTTTAGCCTGTCCATCTCTTTGCCTTCCCCCGCCTCTATCTCTGTCTTTAGCCTGTCCATCTCTTTTTCCGCCTTCCCCCATCTATCTCTGTCTTTTGCCTGTCCATCTCTTTTGCCTTCCCTGCCTCTATCTCTGTCTTTAGCCTGTCCATCTCTTTGCCTATCTCTGTCTTTAGCCTGTCCATCTCTTTTGCCTTCCCCTGCCTCTATCTCTGTCTTTAGCCTGTCCATCTCTTTGCCTCCCTCCCGCCTCTATCTCTGTCTTTAGCCTGTCCATCTCTTTCTCTGTCCCATCTTTTGCCTCCCTCCTCTGTCTATCTCTGCCTTCCCCCGCCTCTAGCCTGTCCATCTCTTTGCCTTTAGCCTGTCCATCTCTGTCTTTAGCCTGTCCATCTCTTTGCCTTCCCCGCCTCTATCTCTGTCTTTAGCCTGTCCATCTCTTTTCCCTCCCTCCTTCCCCCATCTCTTTTTTCTCGCCTCTATCTCTGTCTTTATCCTGTCCATCTCTTTGCCTGTCCTCTATCTCTGTCTTTTAGCCTGTCCATCTCTTTGCCTTCCCCCATCTCTATCTCTGTCTTTAGCCTGTCCTGTCCATCTCTTTTGCCTCTCCCCTGCCTCTATCTCTGTCTTTAGCCTGTCCATCTCTTTGCCTTCCCCTCCTCTATCTCTGTCTTTAGCCTGTCCATCTTTTTGCCTTCCCCGCCTCTATCTCTGTCTTTAGCCTGTCCATCTCATTGCCTTCCCCGCCTCTCTGTCTTTAACCTGTCCATCTCTTTGCTTCCCCTGCCTCTATCTCTGTCTTTAGCCTGTCCATCTCTTTGCCTTCCCCGCCTCTATCTCTGTCTTTAGCCTGTCCATCTCTTTGCCTTCCCCTCCTCTCTGTCTCTATCTCTGTCCATTTTTGCCTGTCCATCTCTTTGCCTTTAGCCCCTCTGCCTCTATCTCTGTCTTTAGCCTGTCCATCTCTTTGCCTTCCCCGCCTCTATCTCTGTCTTTAGCCTGTCCATCTCTTTTGCCTTCCCCTCTGCCTCTATCTCTGTCTTTAGCCTGTCCATCTCTTTGCCTCCCTCCGCCTCTATCTCTGTCTTTAGCCTGTCCATCTCTTTGCCTTCCCCGCCTCTATCTCTGTCTTTAGCCTGTCCATCTCTTTGCCTTCCGCCTCTATCTCTGTCTTTAGCCTGTCCATCTCTTTGCCTTCCCCGCCTCTATCTCTGTCTTTTAGCCTGTCCATCTCTTTTGCCTCCCTCTCTGCCTCTATCTCTGTCTTTAGCCTGTCCATCTCTTTGCCTTCCCCATCTCTTTGCCTGTCCATCTCTTTTTGCCTTCCCCCTCTCTGTCTTTAGTCTTTGTCCATCTCTTTGCCTCCCTCCGCCTCTATCTCTGTCTTTAGCCTGTCCATCTCTTTTGCCTTCCCCCGCCTCTATCTCTGTCTTTAGCCTGTCCATCTCTTTTTGTCTTCCCCCTGCCTCTATCTCTGTCTTTAGCCTGTCCATCTCTTTGCCTTCCCTGCCTCTATCTCTGTCTTTAGCCTGTCCATCTCTTTTTCCTCTTCCTGCCTTTAGCTATCTCTGTCTTTAGCCTGTCCATCTCTTTTGCCTTCCTGCTCTCTATCTCTGTCTTTTAGCCTGTCCATCTTTTTTGCCTCCCCCGCCTCTATCTCTGTCTTTAGCCTGTCCATCTCTTTTTGCCTCCCTCCCCTCTATCTCTGTCTCTATCTCTGTCCATCTTTAGCCTGTCCTTTTGCTGTCCATCTCTTTGCCCTCCGCCTCTATCTCTGTCTTTAGCTGTCCATCTCTTTTGCCTTGCCCGCCTCTATCTCTGTCTTTAGCCTGTCCATCTCTTTGCCCCTCCTATCTCTGTCTTTTTGCCTCCATCTCTTTTTGCCTCCCTCCCTTCCCCCGCCTCTATCTCTGTCTTTAGCCTGTCCATCTCTTTGCCTTCCCCCTGCCTCTATCTCTGTCTTTAGCCTGTCCATCTCTTTTGCCTTCCCCCTGCCTCTATCTCTGTCTTTAGCCTGTCCATCTTTTTGCCTCCCTCCGCCTCTATCTCTGTCTTTAGCCTGTCCATCTCTTTGCCTTCCCCGCCTCTATCTCTGTCTTTAGCCTGTCCATCTCTTTGTCTTCCCAGCCTCTATCTCTGTCTTTAGCCTGTCCATCTCTTTGCCTTCCCTGCCTGTCTCTCTCTCTGTCTTTAGCCTGTCCATCTCTTTGCCTCCCTCCGCCTCTAAGTCTGTCTTTATCCTGTCCATCTCTTTTGCTCCCCCGCCTCTATCTTTGTATGTCTTTAGCAACTCCTTCTCTTTGTCTCCCCCGCCTCTATCTCTGTCGGTCTTTGCCTCAACCGTCTGTATCTCTTTGGCTACTCGATCCCTGCCTGACTTTGTCATTTTTATTTTCCAATAGACCATTATTCACCCTACAGATTATACTACTTAATTTGCTACAGTGTTACTGTAAACACGCATTAGGCTTCATAGTGGGTGCATTTTGAAATTTGGGCATTATCTTTAGAAAAGGGGTTTAAATTAGAAAAGTGTATTTACAAAAATGGATAATGACAGTCGAAGAAGATTTCGTTAAGCAAATATGATGTGTTAATGGAAATTCCCTGAGTTTTTAAGTTGTTTTTTTTTAATCATTTCATCCCTAGCAAGGCATTAAAGCCACTAAGACACAAGCGGTCACTGAATGCGAAAAAAATAAGATTAAACTGTTAACCTTTGAGCCCTGATCACCGCTTTACATGTGGTATAGAAACAGTAACGGTTGAACAGTGGTAGAGAAAAATAACGTAATGCCTTGTTACCGGTTGAACGGTGGGTAAACATTATTTTTATATCTAACGTGAAGCATTACATACCAATTATTTGCGAATTTTGACTCAGGGTCTCAGGCAAATAGATTAAAATTGTTCAGGAACACAGGGCTCAAAGGGTTAAGCGAGACCAATAGAAGAGTAATTGAGAAGGAAGCAGATAATGATTGTAATTGCATTTAAATATTTGAAGAACAAAGTTAGCTGGAAAGCAAGAAACCGGAAGAGAATTCCACGTGTGAGAAGTGTGAGAAATTTAGCATAGAATTTACAGTTACATTTAATCAATACAACAGTAAATCGATGAGAGCTTTTTGCCAGTCAAGTAATGCGCTTAAATTCGTAAAGTCTGGCTACCATAGTGTTGTGAGCAAGTAATTGGTTATGGAATAACAAAACAAGAGGTTGCAGATAAATAGTGTATTGAACAACACATACAACAGAAGTGTGTTACATAACTTGGGAATGTTTGTCGGTTGACCAGCGTTCCGTCTATATCACTGCACCCCCGCCCGAGGCTTAATTTCCTACTATTTTATAATAGGTGGAAGAGTCCACAATAGCCTCATTAGAGGGAAGACACCACAACATATAGTGAAGAGTAACATCCGAACAATTTCCATGAAAGTATTTCTAGAAAAATTCTTGGGAAGCTAGATTATGGCAATAGGAAAGTGACTGAAGTCAAGATCAGGATCAATTAATTAGTTAACTCTGCTTTGGATTTTATTAAGAATCTGTCTATATATAGCAGGAATACATGACCATATGTAGCAGCAATATTCAAAGCATTGATGATTAGTAAACTTATAAATATGTAAGATATATTCTGGAGAGAAAAATTGTCTATCACGACATAATGAAGCAAATTGCTTAGCAGCAGATCTGGTAATAATTTCAATCATTTCACCCTAAGCATGGCAGTAAAGCCACTAAGACACAAGCGGTTACTGAGCGTGAAAAAATAGTAAAAAAAAAAAAGTGGAAACGTTATAAAGGAGCGTGAACAATAGAAGAATAATCAAGAAGACAGCAAATAACTTGTCCTGAGTAAGACAATAAACAACATCCAGCAATAAAAGAGTTTGTGAGGATCGTGTAACCAGCTAATAATTGCTGTCTACCTTGACCCGGTGAGATAACATCTGTTAGTGTCCCAACTATGGACTAATAGTGACCCCCAAACACTATAAAAGTACATTTTAATAGTAAAAATATCAGCAATACTTTATTTATATATGTAAAAGAAACGACAATACATATCCAGCAATTATTTAGTTAGTTGTAGGCATAAAATTTTGTTCAAAGTATATTTAGTTGAAGCAATATAATTGTATTTAAATTATTTAGATTTCGGCATTATGCCGCTAAACAAAATCAACCAATCAACAGCAGATAACGATAGACATTGCATTTAAATATTTGCCGAAAAAGGTTGACTGGAAAGCACTGAGCCAAAAGAGAGATCCACAAACGAGAAAATAGACTGTTAGGATAGAAGTGTTCCGTCTAGTCATTTGACCTGTGAATTGATGAGAGCTCATCGCCAGTGTAGTCCTTCGCTTAAATTCATAAAATATATGTACCATAGCGACAAATTCATGTAAGTATTTATATAAAAGGCAATTGGAAGCTACATTACGGCTGCCATTGTGTTTTAAGAACCCCGAATGAATAATACTCGGACAAACCCACAAAACGCGCAAAATTTCTAATCTATCAAGTAGTGTAGCTTCTGAGGTCGGCTGTTAAGATTTAACCATGTCAGTCTATTTACTGCCTTTTGCGTCGAACATTATTCAACACGTTTTATGAAAAATTTATAGAACGCTTAGTTATGATTATGCATTAGTCATTACAATTGTTCCCTTTAAAATGGAGGTTGCTTAGGATTCAACCTAATAAAAAGCCGTCTTCTGATTAACACTTTTTTATATGAGATTAAAACTTTTTCTTTTTAGCCGACTCTCGTTTTTATCTTTCCGTTTCAATTGTTAGAACAAATTCGATTTTCATTCATAAACTTTGATCACGCAACTATATCAAAAATTTTGCAATATTCTTGACGTTTACATTGATTACAAATTCTATTCCGGCTGCGTCAACTACGTCAAGCAAAATAGAAAAAGAATTCTCTAAGGTATCATGTGAGCAATAAAATGTTAAAAAAAAAAAAAAGCGCGTTTCTTGGCTCGTCAATCCGTGAACTGTACAATATGGTATGCTAACTTCTCGTCTGCTTCTGTTCGTGGTAGAAATCTAATATATTTATTGACTGGCGAATATTTCTCGTCAGCAGGGGTGGGGTTGGGAGCTTTGGAGAAAACATCATGTAGGGAATATATTGCTTCTGAGATCCGAAGGAAAAGTGTCTGCAAAGAGAATTTGTCTGAATAAACGAAACAGTAAAATGCGGTTCAGTTGAGAAGCGCAACTATGAACAGAAATTGACTTCAGGCAGAAGACTACATATGATTGTATCGTTTCAGCAGGTTTAAATTATAAAAAATTGAAAACGAATATTTGCACATGTGAAAAGATCACACACACACACACGCGCGCGCGCACACACACACGCGCGCACACACTCACACACACGCACACACATACACACACACACATATATATATTTAACCTGAACAAAATAAACAACGAAATCTCCACAAATATTCATAAATGCCTATAATTAATAACAGAAGCCATTGGTTCATACCAACGTCTTCCCATACTTAATACTTCTCGTTTTCACTCTCGCGTGGTCATATGGGACGTCACGAGCTGCGATGCGATTTTCGCTTCCGCGTCTCGTATACACGAGATTGTCGTTGCTTTGAAATTTTTCATGCAACAAAAACAGACTATCATTATTGTTTCGTCCGAGTATTGTTTGATATATTGAAATGTAATTTTCATCTTTGATAACGGCTTATGTAAGCCGAAAGCTTAGATAGGATTTAAACATGTATCAATATGGTGTTTTCCTTTCGCCCTTCAACGATAATATTATTAAGCTTATCAGACAATACGAAAGGAACTTACTTAAAATAAATAGACAAGACTTGGCTATATTATTTAATGAAACAAGCATCAATGAAAAAATGCTGCCTATATATATATATATATATATATATATATATATATATATATATATATATATATATATACTGAAATCGTTGTATTAGACGGATGAGGGTTCTGCAATTTAGTTCATAGAACCGAACAGCCATACTACCCACACATATGATTTGATTATTGTGGTAAAGTCTTGTGCAGAACCAAACAAACTTTTCGGAAGATTCGAATACAAAGAACTGCTTCATATAGTGTGCCACAAGGCCTACTCAGGTTTTGAATTCAGAGATATTGTTGTTCTAGAATGATTGACAACCAAGTCTAAAGAGTCCAGCCTTCCATACTATTTAACGTATAGCTTGGAAGGGACGTGGGAGAGCGTCTTTCTCTTTATTAAGTCTCTCGAATCTGCAGGCCGGTAGACGATATTTACACACTTTGGGAAACAGTGCGTCTAGTCAAACAAGGTGCAACCATTAAATAAATTTTTGTGTAATAACATACACACACTCATATATATATATATATATATATATATATATATATATATATATATATATATATATATGTGTGTGTGTTTAAAATAGAGGATGTCTTAGCAGTTTTAATACAGTCTTCACTCAATTGTAGCCGACAATAAGTTGATTATTTAACAGTCATTTAACTTGATAAGATTCGACTTGATAACTGAGTCCACCCATATAGTGAAAATACGCGTAAATACCGAAAAATGATGATTTCTACTGGTTTCTTTCTTATTTTTCGTTGATCCTTCAACCAGTTTTCATCAAACTTAACAATTGCTTTATAAATGTATCCTCTTTTACATCCCTGGTATCGCACTAATAAACTGAATTTCAAAAGCTTCAAAATAATTGTGATCTGACGTAGGTCTTTATGTTGCCTGTTTTACCCCTTCATGTCCTCGGCTAACTTCGATTAAATAAATACAGACTACTTCTGTTATATCAGTAACTGCATTAATTCAAAATGTTTTTTAATGAAAGTACTTTAAAGTAATTGAAGAAGATAGACTCTGTTAAACATGATGTTATTTTTGCTCCATTCTAATTGAACGCTTTTTCTGATCGACCAGCTTGGTATGGCCGCTAGTATGTTATATTATATTACTCTTGTCTTTGTTTCTAACGAACATTTCCTGTTCCACAATATTTTGCTTACCATTTGGAAAGCATATTTTTCTATTACAATACGTCTTCGGATTTTGGTGTCGCATTTTTCTTCTGTTAAATCACCGGAAGTCAAATCTTATCTAACACAACGATTTTACCCCATTAACATCATTAGTTTCAACAATATGCAGCATGAAATAAATATCTTTTTTAACAGAGTAAAGAAATGCATCATAATCATCATCAAAACTGTTTCGATTTGAGGTCATGAATTAACATGTTCTCTCATCTTCAGTGGCATTGTATACTGATTCGGCAATATTCTGAAAGCCTTCTCTGTCCTCTGCAAGTTTGCGGAATCGTTGCAGATCTTCCTTCATTGT